AGAGATGGATTGATACGGTGGCTGCAATGATGAGCTCAAGTATAGCAGGGATTGTGGGGCTGGCGCGGGATCGGGCAGTGTTTCGTTCTGCTGTGTATGGGGTCACTATGAGTCAGAAACGACTCAACGGCACTTAACAACAACGACAACAACACAGCCCATGAGCCAGCAGCCTACCGTCTGATTTGCTGTTCTTGGTTTTATCAGCTCCTGCAGCTGTGTGAATCAGGAGAAGCCCCCAGCCTGATGTCTGACCCATGGACTTCAGACTTGCCAGCCTCTACTTTCTGTGACCTGAATCTCTATATGTACATATGTAAGCTTCACTGGTTTTGCTTCTTTAGAGAATGCAGCCTAGAACAGAAAGGAAATGGATCCAAGAAGCCTCGCTCTGCACTCCCCTATATGAGTAAGATGGTGGGAGCTTATAAATGGAGAGGCTCAAAAGTCAACTGTGTTCTCCCTCAAATCTCCTCATTTGAGCCTATATCTTCAGTGGGTTGTTAAGCATTGCTCATTTTCTTCAGGCTGGCAGTGTATTCTTGCCACCTGTCCCTGTTGTCTGACAGTGAAACAACTTGAACAGGGAGGGGATGAGACTGGGTTAGGGTTGGGGATGGTAAATGGGGAGTGAAACTAAATGTACACATAATGTTGAATGTAAAACAAACTGTAATAAGAAAAGAGACAAAAAAAAAAAAAAAACCTCCCACCAAATGACTGGGTGGGACTATGCAAATGAGGTGCTCATAGCTTACCAAGGGGATTGGATAGCTTACTAATAATGCACATAAGGTGGATGGCACCCTCTGTTGGGGTAGGACTGTGTACATAAGGTGTACAAATCCCTCACAGTGAGATTGATTGGTCAGTTTTGCCATCCCACGAGGCTTAAAATGAGCCATCTCAGAGGCAGATAGGGGACTTCACTACCAATAAAAACAAAAGCTGGGAGCAGAGCACATCTTTTGGACCTGGGGTGCCTGTGCTGAGAACCTCCTAGACCCAGGAGACACAGAGCTGTAACAACAGAGATGGTGCAAGATGGCAAGAAGCAGTGGCAGAAAAATGGCAGCAGAGCCGGGATACTGGCAGGAGATGGCATGATGGGCTTCCTGGCCAATGGAGTGAGAAAGCAAAGGGCCTTCAGGTAGGAGGCTTGCTGGCAGAGTGGGATGGCTCTGGGCACTTATTGGTGGAGCTAAAGAGCTTTGTAACACTTGCCTAAGCAGGTCAGAGGCAGTACCAACCCAAAAAGGCCAAGGAGCCAAGATGCCTAGGGCCAGAGAGAAGCTGCCTGCAAGGATGGTCAAGGAAAGGCTGTCCTGATTGAAGAAATGTATCCTGAGGCATTCCTGATCCTGAATTGTAACCTGTTAATTCTCTAATAAACCCCACAACTTGAGTATGGTCTGTGAATCCTGTGTGGCCATTGCATTGAATTACTGAATCCAACAGAGAAGTAGTACCGTGGAAGGATGACTGGTGTCAGATTTGGTAAAAAGGTTGGAGAGGGGAGGTATGTCTGGCCTTCACCTCATAGGAATCAGCCTTGGGCTGTTGATCTAGATTCTCCATCCCCCTTGTGAAGTTAGAAGAAGTCATTCCAGCACCATGCCATTTTATTATTTCTTTTTCCATGTGATAGAACTTCTGAGTTTCTTCAGATAAACTGTTGTGGTTAGGTGCTATCAAGTTGGTTTTTGACTAATAGTGACTGCATGTGACAGATTAGAACTGCCCCAAAAGTTTTTCTAGGCTGTATTCTTGATAGGAACAGATTGCCAAGTCTTTCTCCTGTGGAGCTGCTGAGTGAATTCAAACAACCAACCTTTCGATAAGCAGCTCAGCACTTAACCATTATGTCACTAAGGCTCTTTGCAAATACACTAGAATAACAATATAATCCAGTGCTGTGTCTTTTCCAGCATAGAAGCCTGGTGATTTTATTGTTCTCTTCCCAGATGCCAAGGTAGAGGTTGTCAGTCTTCTTCATAAATCAGCAACAACTAGTATTTATAGCTTTATGAGTCAGGAATTTAGATCAAGCTTCCCAAAAAAACCAAACTCACTCCCGTCGAGTTGGAACCGACTCATAGTGACCCCTCCTTGTATTTCTGAGGTGGCACTGAACGACCAGCCTTCTGACATAGCTGCTTCCTCTGTGTGCAAATACCAATCAGAACATATAAACATGAGTGTGCCCTTTCAGTTAGGCACTGGGCTTGAGTGGCAGCTAATCCAAACTCAAAGGGCTGACACTGATATGTGGCTGGCAGCAGAGATTAGCTGAGGTTGCTCATGGATAGGAGCATGGCCAGGCCAGGGGACCGAATGAGAAAGCAGGGCCAGGGTGGGAAGAAAGGATCCCAAATTTAGGGAACATACCATTGTTCCGCTCATCGATGGGTGACCGAATGGCGCCTCCATTGATGATGCACATGGACACGTGGTTCCAGGTCATTTCATCTGGGTGTCTAAGGTTGTTGTTAATCTGCAACAGTTGCACAAATTCACATTAGTTATCCTGAATTTTCTTCCTTAGGATCAGTTCTAGAAATTTAGTTACCTTTATTGTGGAAAAGATCTTGAGTGGCACAAACAGTTAAGTGCTTGGCTACTAACTGAGGGGTTAGTGGTTTGATTCCACCCAAAGGTGCCTTGGAAGAAAGTCCTGGTGATCTATTTTGAAAGTTCACAGCCATGGAAAACCCTATGCAGTGCAGTTCTACTTTGACACACATGGGATCAACATGAGTTGGAATTGACTCCATAGTGACTGGTTTGGTTATTTGTTTTTATTGAAGTTGTTTTTCTCCTGTTTCTGTGTTCCCAGAGATTTCTCAAGTATAATTAGTCAGAACTAGTTTTATGTTGTGAGAAGCAAAAATATGATATTGTGACCAGTGCTGTCCCAGCCTTTGGATTTGCTCTTATGTTTCAGCTCTTAGAAACAGGCAGCATTTGTCCGTATAAATTATAGAGCTAACAAAGGACAAAGTTAGGATAATTTCTTTTTTTTTTTTTAATTAATTAATTAATTTATTTATTTTTTTAAATTAGGATTTGGGTGAAGATTTACAGAGTAAATTCACTTTTCATACAGCAGTTCACATATACTTTGTCTCATGTCATTGACCAAAATTTTTTACAATGCAGCAGCTCCCCTCCCACTTCCTCCCCATAGTTACCTCCTCCCAGTGTCCATCCCTTCATATTCTTCTGCACCCTGAGCTATCTCCCTGTGCATAAGCAGCCCTTCCTTCTCCCATGATTGTTCTCTCCAGGGCGTGTGTCTACTTGAGGTAAATGTTTAACTCACATGCCTGTACTTTGTTTGGCTGGAAACCACAGTTGTGGGTTCAATTCCAGACCTGAAGGGCAGCTAGGGGCCATAGTCTCAGTGGTTACACCAGGCTCCATTGGACCAGCAAACCTGGTCCCCACCTTCTTCTTCTTTTTTTTTTTTTTTTTTCCCTCCAAATGATTTTGAGTTTTGTACCACATTGTTCTCCCTCTTTATGCAGGATCTCCTACATCCCTTCCAAGTGGATGGCAGTGGTAGCTGGGCACCATCTAGTTCTTCTGGTCTCATAGTTGTATAGGTTGCAGATCGGATGGTGTACCAGTCGCTACGACTGATTGTTTCCATTAATTTTGGTTTTCTTCTTTCTTCTTGACGAGGAGAGACCCGTTGTTGCATCTAGATGGCAGCTTCCTACCTTTTAAGGTCCCAGTTGCTACTCGCCAAAGTAGTAGGTGGAACAATGTTTTGTATAGTATGTTATGCCAATTGAGCTTGATGTCCCCTGCGACTATGGTCCCAAGCCCTCAGGATCAACTACTCGGTCCCTCTGGGTAGCTGGCTGTGACCAAGCAATGACCATAACCTTGCCCCTTGTCAGCTCTACTATACACCTGGGAATTCTGATCATTCACATGAACTTATAGGCCCATTGTCTGCCAACCCTATATATGATCTTGGATACACTCTCCATTTAGACATACCTAATTGTTTAGCTTGTTCACCCATCTATCCGTCCCTATACCCATGTTTGCTTTCACGGACAACTCAGTATTGTATATGCAAAGGGGTTCATATTTGTTGTCTGTACTGCCCATGTAACTCTCTATGTCTTTCTCATCCTCAATGCTGCCGTATTGGTCACTCACATTTGGTACATTGCCCTTCTCTTCACCCAAATCAATATTTATCTCTATCTATCTAACAGCATTCCCCACCTCCCCTCCCACCCCTGGTAACCAACAAAGAAAATGTCCTCCAATATATAAACCTTTCCTTAACTTTTACAATAACGGACTAATACAATATTTGTCCTTTTGTGACTGACTTATTTCGCTCAGCATAATGTCCTCCAAGTTCATAGGATAATTTCTTAGCCACAACCAAGCACCTTGAGTGAGTGAGTTGCTGGGCCTGTGGCTCAGAGCCATGGTCACGGGGGACATCAAGCTCAACTGGAACAATGCAGTACACAAAAACATTGTTCTACATCTTACTTTGGTGAGTAGTGACTGAGGTCTTAAAAGCTTATGAACAGCAATCTAAGATAAAACTATTGGTCTCAAAAAAAAAACAAAAAACAAAAAACTATTGGTCTCTTCTCATCTGGAGCAAATATGAGTAAAGAAAATCAAAGACATGGAAACAATTAGTTCAAGGCACTAACGGACCATGGGAAACTCAGCCTACCTGATTCTGAGACCAGAACTAAATAGTACCCAGCTACCAATGCCAACCACTCGGAAAGGGATCAAAATTGGAGATTCTAGATCAAGTGGGAAAAAAAAAATGTGGAATAAAATTCAAAAACATAAAAAAGACCAGGATTAATGGTCAGAAAGAGACTGGTGAAACCCCCAAGACTCTGGTCCCAAGTCACCTGTCAGGCCTGGAATTGGACTCACTCCCGTGGCTTAATTCTCTACCAAATAACAGTTGACAGGCCTATGAGCTGAACAGCTACACCAGGGAGATGCATTCCTTAGAATAGTCAACTGTAGGAGATTAGAAGGGCAGCATTTGCACAGGAGGAGGTTAGGCACATAGGTAAGAAGGACACAGGGAAGGGGTAACCAGAAGGAGGAGGTGAGAGGAAAGCTGTTACAGTGTGGGGATTGTAATCAGTGTCGTGAAACAAAATGTGTATGAACTGTTGAATGTAAAAAAATCTGCTTTGTAACATTTTACCTAAATAGCCATAGAAAGTTTAAAAAAAAAAAAGGAAGCTTTTAGCCCCCCTCTCTAAAACCCATTATTCTCAGGCCAGTGGGTCTTAGGGAACTGTTCTCTTATTATAGTGGAGCCTTGGTGTCAGGACTGAGTCTCCCATGCCAAATGGACTGCAGTGCTACCCCTCCACAGGCACCTCAGGGCAGGGTGTGCCCCATGCTTGTGTCTCAGGCAGGACCCTAAAGCCTGTTCTACTCCAGACCTCGTACCAATGAGAACCCCTGATTCTATGTTTGTACCTTTAGCCAGTTCCCAAGCTGGAGATTTTGGAGGTACAGAAGCACCTTCCTGAAACTAGAAGAATCAGGTTCATTCTTTCTTTCACAGAAATATGTTTAGTTATCAGAAATATAGAAATACATTCTCATTTTAAAACTACAACAAAAAGCAAAAGTTCTCTTCCACCTGCCCCAGCCTCTTCTAGAGAGGTAATCCCTGTCAAGAACCTGGGGGTGTTTCCTTTCAGACCTTTCTTTATATACTTACCTACTGGATTTTCTTTGGCTATTTCTCTCACACTGACTGCATGATACTGAGGAGTGGCCATTGGTCTCGCCTTGGAAAGTATGAATACTGTCATTTGTTGGCAAATGAGTGTAGCTCTATATCAGGCACTGTGCTGGGCACTGTCAAAGAACTGATCCCCTGGGTGAGGACCTTGAACAAATGGGAATGGTGAGTCTAACTGGGGGCCTGGGCTTAGCACGGCCCCAAGGGAAATGTCATGGCCCATCTGCCCAGATGGATAGAAAGGTACTTTTTTAGGTGATCTTGCTCAGCCACGGGAATTATTATTATAACTGTATGTTATACTTCTAAGCTTCTAGTCACACTAGGTCTAGCTTCTGTGGAGCCTGTGGACAGACTGGTGAAAGACAATCTGGCCAAGTTAGGCTCCAGTAGATGTGTTTTAGCTATTATTATTCAGAGTTTGTGTGTTCTGATCATCTTACAAAAGGAAAGCAACCTCCAAAATTCAGACATCCAAGACACCTTAAAATACAAGTTTTAGTTCTTATAAAGCAATAAAGTGAGGATCATCTCAACTAGTTCTGATACCTTCCCAAGGCACTGAGAATCAACAATTCTCTAATCAGTTTGTTTCTCCATGTGTCTTTCCTTCTTCCTTTCTCCCCCACTTCCTACACACTGGCCTGTTCCTATGGATGACTTACCATCGCATCACAAATCAAGTTGCCCATGTTGCATTCTCTATAACGGCATGATTGAGTGGTGCCATCCAAATAGACGATTGTTTTTCCCAATTCCTGGGTAGAATAATTATTTAATTTTATTCTCCATTTGTTAATGTCTGCTTTTATTTTTGGATCTAGGAAAAACAAACAAACAAAAACCTGACAGGTAAAGCAAATTTCATGCTGGACTAAATTCCAGACAAAGAATCAAACACCATATAGCTTACCTACTGTTGGTATACATTTCCTTACCATATTCATGTACATTTTGGGTTTTACCTTCAAATTTCTTTAGGAACCTTTATATCCTAGCTTCAACTCAGAATATCAGTAGGTCACATCTGTCAGCCACCTGTGATAGCGTTAGCAGTTGTGTATGGGGGCTGTGGAAGGCCCAGTGCATGTATGCAGGGCCTGCCTACTGAGGTTCTCCTGGGCCACTGCTGTCTGTGTTGTCTCAGCCCTCTCCCGTCCAGCTATTTAGAGGCCTGTGTTGTGTTTGTTTTTCCCAGATCTGATCACGGAGCAGGTACAGAGAGAAGGGTAGAAGTGTGTTCGTGTACACCATATGAAGGCAGATGATATGAAAAGTATTTTTAGTTAAGAGTTTCAGACAAAAAAAGTGTGGTAAACACTGATAGTCCAGGTTCTTCATTTGGTTAAGAAAGAAACAGAGGCCCTTAGAGACTGGGCAATGTGTCCATGGCACACTGCTCCTAAGTGGTGGGACCAGGATTTGACCCCTCCTCTGCCCAGTTTGAATACCTGTGCTCCAATAACAACTCCCTGGACTGTCCCATGCTTGAAAAAGCTTGTAAATGGTAGAAGCAGCAGTGAGGCACAGTTTCTGATGCTGAAAGGGCTCAAGAAGCAAATGGGGACTTTTGACCTTGAGTGTATTTTCGGTCTCTTTGCCCATGAAGACAGTACACTCAAGGGAGAGGCTAAGTTCTTCAGAAGTTTTAGTGCCTTTTCCAGTGCCTAAGGTATTTGATGCTAACCAGAACATTGGTAGTTCAAACCCACAAGCTGCTCCATGGAAGGAAGATGAGGCAATCTACTTCCATGAAGATTTACCACCTTGGAAACCCAATGGGGGTCACTATGAGTTGGACTCAATTTTATGGTAATGTTTTTATTTATTTATTTTTTTAAATACCAATCTCTGAGTATGAACTGATGGTCCACTGGCATAATGAAACTCTCATGAGGTTTGCAATCTGTAATCCCTGGGTGTAACTTCTACGACATTCTTGACTTCTGACTTCGAATATATATTTTTTTAGTTTAAAAAAAAAAAAAGAAGTTTTAGTGCCTTTTCCTGAAATATTAGGGGGAAAAAAAGGTGGTGGTGGTGGTGGGAATCCAGCCAGCTAATTTTTAGATTGGTGCACCATTTCCCTGACTTCCACATACCTTCAGGAATGCTGCTATTTAGAAGAATGGGATTTCCATATGAAGTGACGACATTTCCTCTTTCATCAAACTCAACCTTCAGATAGCCCAAGTATTTGCCGAAAGCATAAGCCTGGACCACAGGAACCTTCTGCCCATAGTCAGAGGTGACTATGAATGGGTACTTTCCAGCAGGCACCTCTCTGGAAGGTGGAGTACCTGAAATAAAAGAGCCAAAGCTGAACAAGTCAGTCCTTATATGTGCTAGCTGCAGGCTAGCAGGCCTCTCTGGCCAGTGACTAAGTTCTAACTAGATGATTCACCAGCTGCTATTCTCATGGCTGGTCTTTCAGGGCACTGCTCAGGCATTTGTCCATTTCCCATTGCCCTGTTGGCACATGAATCTTTTCATTCTCAACTCAGCAGTCATTGACTGAGGTCTTCCAAAGTACCAGGCACTATGCCTGATGCCATGGGACACAAAAATGGAAGACTCCTAAGATTATCCTACCACCATCCTGACTCAGGCTTCATTCTTACCAGCAGGGTGGTTTAGATAAGCCACTTCACTTCATTGTACCTCAGTTTCCTCATCTGTGAAATGGGCAAAATAAAAATTCTGATTTCATAGGACTGTTGAGAGGATTAGAAAAGAAGTTGTCAAGGATTTCATTTTTGTGTGGATTGCACCTACAATCAATGCCAATGGAAGCAGCAGTCAAGAATCAAATGACGTATTGCATTGAGCAAATTTACAAAAGACCTCTTTTAAGTGTTAAAAACAAAAACAAATGTATCACTTCATTACCAAATACCCAAGTCCTGGTATTTTCAATTGCTTCTTTTGCATGCAAAAGCTAGACAATGAATAAAGAAGACCAAAGAAGAATTGATGCCTTTGAATAGTGTTAGCGAA